AACAAATATTTGTTAATTTTTGAATATTTATTAAAACTAATAAAAAATATTATATGTAAAATATGCTGAAACAAAAAAAAAAAAAAAATTTGAAATAAAATATTCGATTATTTATTTAGCATAAGCATTTTATTTTTTTGTTTTTAATCATTTAAATGTAAACAAATATTAATTAAACTACAACAAATATTTGTTAATTTTTGAATATTTATTAAAACTAATAAAAAATATTATATGTAAAATATGCTGAAAAAAAAAATTAAAAATATATTTATAAAAATATTGAAATAAAATATTCGATTAATTATTTAGCATAAATATGCTTTTTATTTTTCATAAAAAGGCTAATTAGTAATTAATTATTATTCATCGATTGCAGTGCAATTTTGAAAATTCGTTTTATTAACAAATAATGAATTATTTTCTTGACATATTCAATTTTTTCCCTTAATAAATCAATAATGATATGATATGATTACTATTTAACTGATCGATACGGTATTTAATTAACGTAACAAAAGCAATAGATAATTCATTAACAATTGCTTTTTTTTTTTTTCTCCTTTAGAATGAACAAACTTATTAGTATATACTTTATAATTTAGTTGTTATGAATTTACTTGAAATCTTATAATTGAAATAAAATAATTTACGAAATAAACACTGATACTTATTTTTCATTCAATATTATCCTATATCATTTCTAATTTATAAAATTATTATTTTAGGAATAAAATTTTTACTATATTTCAAATTTTTATTCAATTTTTCCTTCTTTTCTTTTCTTTTTTTTTCCAGCCATTAGCAGTAAATTTCTTGGAATTAATATTTGGTTATATCAATTCATATCTGATCGATTTATCAAATTTAATAGTAGTCCTAAATTCATCATCCAATTTTATCATTTATTTCACATTTGGAAGTCAATTCCAGAAAACCGTAAAGGAATATATTGAAATAATTTTTTATCGACAATCAACAAATAAAATTATTGTGATGAAATAAAATGGAATGTATAAAAATGAAATTATTTATGTAAACGAATAATTATTTTTTTTTTAATATTATTTTTTTCCATTTCATTTTTTCTTTCCATTTGAAAAAGAAAAAAAAAGAAATACATTCAATTTTTTTAGAAGAAAATTAGTTTTAAAATTTAGTGTATTCTGGGAATACAATTTTTAACGAAGTATTGGTAAAATTACAACTTTATATCTTTCACTAAAAAAAGAAAAAATTCGAATTGATTATCAATAAACTTAAGCTATCAAGAATTCAAATTATCAAATCCAAATTTCTAATAGACTTAAATTTTGTTGATAACAAGTTTTCATTGATAATTGAAAGAATGGTTTAATTATTGGTGTGATAATCTTTTTATTATTCGTTTTTGTTTTTGTTTTTTTCTTTGTTCTATCCAAAGCCAATATGTCTTTCAAATTAGAAAGGAATAAATTTAACAGACAAAACCGGTTTTAACATTTAAAAGCGGAAAGTTTTCATCATATGTGCATATCCGGTAACAAGTTATGATAAACCGATAATGTTATAATTACTTGTTGATTTGATGATTTAGAACGGATTGAAACTTTCGAAATATTTAACAATAAATAACTCATCAATATGATAACTGTCAATAAATGATAATTGAATAGCTGAATGATAACTGAAGGAATGAATTATGTTAAAGTTGTGTAGCGAATATGCAAAATTAACGGATGCAAGTGTCACCGATAGTGTTATCAGTACAATATCACAGTATCACTCTATCACCTCATTCACATTGAAGACTTATGAAACCCATTCTGATATTCATTTGTAACAAAACATCAAATTTCATTCGACAATATAGCATGAAAATTTCGCAGTAGAATACCTGGTTAATGCTAATTACAGGTTGCAAGTGATGGAAAGTAGTTGACAAATGATTACAGGTGATTAAAGGTGACTAACCGGTGGTTGCAAATTGTTACAGGTGATTACAGATGGTTAGTAAATCTGAAGATGGTTATAGGTGATTGTAAGTGATTACGGTGATTGAAGATGATCAGAGATGATTGCAGGTATTTAGAAGTGATTATAAATGGTTGAAAAAATAAACTTGTTGATAATATGTGATAATTTTAGCGCTTTTAACATCAACAATAATGCTAAATGATTATAATATTAGTCGTGCATTTAATAATGTATTTGGATGGATTTTTATTTCCTTTATTATTTTCAGTACAATTTTTGCATTAATAATTATTAATTGAATTTCAAAAAAAAAAAAGAAGTATTATAATGATAAGTTTGAATAAGTTTCAATCATCCATTAAGCATTGATTGTTTAAATATTTCCATAAAGTTATTTCAAGTTGTTCTACATTAATTTAAATTAATAATTAATTCATTGTTATTAATTTGAAGTATTTCATTTCCAATTAATAAATAGCTCATTACCGTTTGACACTTTGTACAACACTCTTCATATATGCATATATATATTATTGATTGATTTGTTAATAAAGCTATCATGAATTATCAATCGAAACTTTTCCACATTAAATAATCTTAATGCATACAAGAAATGGTTAAATGTGTTAAATTCTTTGATTGATAAAAATCTTTGTGATTCCTACCGGTTTCTTTGTTATCAAACTACAAAGAGTTCCGTAAATGATTGGCAGAAATTGAAATGATTCGATTACCGTAAAACTTTATACGTCGACCGGATTTATGCTTTCCTCCGTTTGATGAATATCTTCCGTCTTTGAATGATATAAAAATTGAAAGTTTCATCTATGAAAAGCTACGATCTTTCTGTTTCATTCATTCGATCAAATGTGACATTACATTGGATCGAATGTTCTGACAAATTCTGATTCTTGAATTGCAATTTAACCTGACAATAAATTGGCTTAAAATAATGGATTTGAGCAAAAATCATATAGAGCCTTGCTAGGCTCCTATGAATGGCTTGAATACTTTTCAATTTCCTCAAAGAAATTTTATTAATTACCGCCATTTTCGAATTTTAAAATTCATCGTTAAATTCTCTGGTAGTATGGTGAATGTTTGATACAATTTCAAAATAACAAAAAAAAAAGCAAAAAGAAGGACGGAAAATTTGCAAAAGATTTTGCTAATTTGGTTAACTAATTAAAGTCTGATTAATTAACCATTACGGATGAATGAAACGTAACTATTCGAAGAATTATTAGCTTCGAATTACTTCATTAGAATTCCCATACATATGGTATTATCATACTTTATAGTCTGATGCCAAATTATCTTTTATAAACCTTTACCTGCTCATATTCATTTATCTATTTCAAAACAGATGCTATTTATTTGAATATATAACCTTTGACATTATTTTATAGTTTTTAATTCATTTCCTTATCATTATGATAATAATTCATTTGCTTAATTTATTCACGATAATAATATTTATGTTGATAATATTAATTATAATAATAAATAATGATAATAATAGTTCATAATATTCCATGACTTATACAATCGATGTAAATCATAGGGATGGCAATTTAAAAAAAAAAAAAATAGAGATAATAAAATTTTCAATTCGACTTTATATTGTAACAATTCTAAACTAAAGGAAAACTTTCATTTCAAGTAATTTTACGATACAAAAGTATTACACTCATCTGTAAACAGAAATAAATTGTAAACAAATATAATTGATGATGTTTAATAAATTCATATGGTGTAATCCATATAATTGTTTACAGTATAAATTGGCTGAAATATAACGAATCATCGAAATTGAAATTTTAAATTATCATCCAAATCAAAACTTTAAATTATCATTCAAATTAGAATTTTATCCATCCAAATTGAAACCTTGAAAATTTATCAATTAACATCCAAACTAAAAACCTTAAATTATCATTCAAATTAGAAAATCAACCAAATTAAAACCTCAAAAATTTGATTTAATCATTCAATTTAATCTTCCCATGATATATTATTTTCTTTTTTTTAATATTTATAAAAAATATTCTTCTCTTCTTTTAACATATTAAATCAAATGGTAATAATTTCATGTGGCAATACATATCAATAATTTTTCATATCTAAAACAATCATCAAATATCTTTCCCTTTCATATTAAAATATTTTGATAATTATGATATTTAATGAAATTGATGATATCAATTATATTAATATCCGTTGTTAATCAATCCAATGATTGATTTAATAATCTAAAAAAAATAATGGGAATGCAATATTTGCAGAATGAAAGGAAAAATTGAATATGTTAAAATGATAGAAATTATTTTAAATGTTCGTTTCTCAAAAAACTGTAATTAATTTTTATGAATATTTAATTAAAACTTGAATAAATTTTAAATGAATTCTTTAAAATAAATTTAAATGAATTCTATTATTTATAATACTACAAAAAAAAAAAAGAAGGAAACTATTCCAATAGTTGCAATAATTATGGTAAAATACAAAAAAAAAAAAATAAAGTAACTTTAACATTATTATACAATGAAATATTAGAAGGATATCTTTTTATCTCTTCTTGTACCAATATTTAATGACCAGCATTTAATGACTATATTAATTAAAATAGTTTTTCATTAATTTCCAAATATCAAACATTGCCAATCTTTGGTCTCTATTCTATTTCTTATGAAATACAACTCTAATTACTTATTTCAGGAAAAAAAAAAGTGGATTAACCAAGTGATCCACAACTAATACATTTTGTTGGTAAAATTTAAAATCAAAAAAAAAAATATAAAATAATAAATGAATCAATTAATTGGAATATATCACAAATAGATTTAGGCTTCATTTATGTTCCTAATCGTTTGCAATGTCCAAATGATCCACTCCAAGTTCCATTTTTGCAAATTCGCCAACGGCTACCTTCCACTTCCAAATAATGATTTGCTGGACATACAAGCATTGCGACTGTTCCATGTGGATATTTTAAAGCATTGCAATTGATTAATTCCTATAATAAAATATTGTATTATTTATTATTTTATCATTATTTTTATTAAAATTAATTAATTCTCTTGAATTTCCTATTTTTATTTTAATTTTCAAATTTTTAAACCCTTTTTATGCTTTCATTTATTTCAAAATTATTCTATATATAACTCACTTCAATCTTACATTATAAAATTATTTTCAATTAAAATACAACAAAACATAAATATGTATTAACCTAAATTCTTTGTTACAATTTAAAATATCTAAAAAGCTTTTTTTTTTTGCTTTTCATATTGAATTATAAGCAAACATATAAAATTAAAATTTCATTTCAAAATTAATGAATGAAAAAGTTTTGAAAAAATTTTATAAAATTTGATTAATCAGAGATGAGAAATAATAGGATAACTTATAGATCTAAAATTCTAAAATCCTAAAATTTATAGATTCATATTTTATTATTATTACCGGTTTGTAAGCAATGTATGGAATTGCTACTTTTGGTGGTGAACATGGCGCAACTT